TATCAACTTTTTATCAAAAAATTTTTTTTATTCAACAGATAATAATCATAAAAATCACTTTGTATTTTCTCAACCCAAAAAAGCTAAAGAGTTTTATTTTCCAATAAAAAAATATCAACTTAATCAAACAGAATTAAAAAAAATAAAAGAATATTTTTTCAGTATATTATAATGTTGTAAATCAAAAACTTAAGATAAATTTATATTAATATATACTATTATTTTTTATTAAATTTTTTAATAATAATTCAATTTTTTTATAGACCTTTTCACAAAATGATACAAAATATAAATACTTGCATACAAAAAGATAGATTTTATATTAGCTCAAAATGAATTAAGAAAAATCCAGATTAGACCTAAACTAATTATTCAAAGTATAAAATTTATATTATAATTATTAATATATTTTTTTAGATATTAAAAATAATTAATTTATTATATATAAGCTATTATAGAGGTAGATAAATGGTCTAAAAAGTGATCCAAATTTATTTTGCAAACCTTTTATGGAAATGTTGAATATTATTTAACATATAAATTTGACAAAAAAATTCATTTGCTAGCATACATTCACTAGAATACAAATATTGAAAAAGATAATGTAAAATCCTTATCATTTTCAAATATGATGCTTATGAATTTATTGATACTTGTGCAATTGATCATTATATTAGATTTTTTAATTATAATGGAATATATTATATAATAGATAAGGAATCTAAAGAATTTTCTTAAGAGATAAATTTTGTATATTATATACTTATTGAATATATTTTATATACATTATTTATATATAGCTTCAAATTGATAAAACATTTAATGTATATTTTGTGTATTTTAAAAAAGATAATTTCAAAAATATAGTTGATTTATAAATAAATAATAGACATACTAGACATTATATAGATAAAATATGCTATTTTATATATGATTTATGGATAATGTATTTTTATAGGGTAAAATTTCTAAATATAACACTAACTTAATATAATACAATTAATTAATATAATAAATATAACGAATATATAAAAAATAACAAATAATATGATAATAAAATAAATATAAAAATAAAAATTATTATAGTTATTTTAACATACATAATTGATATAATAAATATAAATAATATTGTTAACATTTTCATTTTTTTTTCGCAGTAATTACATATTTCGTAAATACTATTTCTTGTAACAGCTTAAATAAAAAAAAAAATTTTTAAATTTTTAATAATTAAAAATTAACTGAAAAAAAAATAGAAATTAACCACAAAATAATATAAAAAATACAACTAAAAATAAAATTTTTAATTTTTTTTTAAAAAAATTAAAAAAAATAAATTAAAATTATTATTATAAATTGAAATTAAAAATAATATATAAATTATATCAATTATGAATTAATAGAATCAGTTATATTTTTAACATCAATGATTAGGGTATTATTTATTTTAAAAAATTTTTTAATAGATATGCTAAAACTTTAAAAAATTAAGTTTTTAACATCTATTTTACATTGTAATGATAAAATCCTGGGTAAAACCATTAGTTAATGATCACAAAATCAATTTTTTTTAAATTTTAGATATGAATATTTATCAAAAAAAATTACGTCTTTCATATATTTTGTAATTAAACGACTAATTTAACTTTTACACTATATATAAGAAACTTTTAATAATTATGCAATCATTATTTTACATCTAAAATAGATTCAATTTTTTATATAATTATCAATTTAAAATATAATATGCAATTCAATTTTCATTATCATAAGTTTATACAAGTATTAAGCAAAAATTAGAAATATATTTTATCGTCACCTTATTTACAATTGAGAATATCATTTTTATTCGAAAGGTTTAACTATCTTATTTTGCACAAATTTATAAAAGACTGAATAACATTTATATAATATTAAATATTAATCAATTAGATTTTATTTATCTTGTGACTTAATTTAGAATAGAAGTATCCTTTAAATTAAAATGAGATCAGCTAAATTTGTAATAAATGTAATGTAACATAAACAATTAAATTTCAAATATAAGATATTTTAATTAAAATATTATGACCAAGTTTAAAAACTAAAAAAATATTATTAAAAAAAAATATATATATCATATACATTAAAATACTAAAAGTCTAATGAGAGCTAAACTTTCTTTGGCTTCTTAACATCCATTTTCTATAGCTTTCTTATACTAATAAATAGCATTTTCTATATTCTTATCAGTTTCTTCACCATGTTTATATAAATATGCAAGACTTTTTTGTGCATCAATATTACCATTTTCTGCTGCTTATTTATACCAATAAAAAGCCATTTCTAAATTCTTTTTTATATATTCACCATGTTGATAATATGTGGCTAAATTATACATTGAAATTTCATTACCATTTTCTGCTGCTTTTTGATACCAATAAATAGATTTTTCTAAATTTTTTTCTATACCTTTTCCATATTGATAACATTTAGCTAAATTATACATTGCAATTTCATAATCATTTTCTGCTGCTTTCTGATACCAATAAAATGATTTTTTTAAATTCTTTTTAACTCCTTCGCCTTTATCATACAAAGATGCAAGATTATTCTGTCCTCTAATATATCCATTTTCTGCTGCTTTTTGATACCAAAATAATGCTTACTTCCAATTCTTTTCTTTTATTTCACCTTTTTCATATAATACTATGAGCATATTTTGTGCATTAATATTACCACATTTTGCTGCTTTTTGATACCAGTTAAAAGCTATTTCTAAATTCTTTTCTGTACCTTCTCCATATTGATAACATAAAGCTAAATTATACATTGCATATATATTATCATTTTCTGCTGCTTTTTGAAATCAATAAAATACTTTTTCTAAATTCATTTCTGTACCTTTATTATATTGATAATATAAAGCTAAATTATGCATTGCAACTATATTATTATTTTTTGCTGCTCTTTGAAACCAATAAAAAGCTTTTTCTAAATTCATTTCTATACCTTCTCCATATTGATAACATAAAGCTAAATTATACATTGCATCTATATTATTATTTTTTGCTGCTTTTTGATACCAATAAAATGCTTTTTCAAAATTCTTTTGTATTCCTTCACCTTTGTAATATAATAATGCAAGGTTAAATTGTGCAAATTTATTATCCTTTTCTGCTACCTTTTGATACCAATAAATGGCTTTTCCTAAATCTTTTTCTGTACCTTCACCATAATTATATAAATAACCAAGAAATGCTTGTACATTATTATATCCTTTTTCAGCTAAATTTTTATATATTCTAAATGCTTCTTCTTTATTAATATCAATTCCAATTCCAAAATAATGGCAAACTCCAAGCTTATATTTTCCATTTATAAATTCTTTATCATAAAAATTTTTATATATTTCAAATGCTTTTCTTTCATTTTTTTCTATACCTATTCCTAATTCATAACATCTACCTAAATTAAATAATCCACATAAATTTCCATTATTAGCTGCTATTTGATACCAGTAAAATGCTTTATCTAACCTTTTATCTGTTCCTATACTACTTTCATAATAAATACTAAGATTTAGCTGTCCATAAATACTTTCACTTTCTACGGCTTTTTGTATCCATTTAAAAGCGTTATCATAATTTTTCTCAATTCCAAATCCTTCTTTATAACAATTTGCAAGATATACTTGTGCAATAGGACAAATATCTTCATTTTCTTTAGAAGCATTTAAAATAATTTAAATGCTTCACTATAATTTATCTTAATGTAATTACTATTTAAATACAAAAATCCCAAGAAAAATTGATATCTTGATTCCACATGATCTTCGTTAAGCCATTCAAAGATCTCATTTACAGTTCGATTTGAAAGAAATATACAATGATCAATAAAATGTCCGGTTTCAATGAAATTATTTCCTTCATCGTGTGATTTAATTAAAAGCTTAATTAGCTTACATATAAGAATATCCATACTATCTTCTATATTAAATATTTCCCTAAATAACTTTTCTGCCTGATATAAAATATGTTGTGAATTGCATTCATTATATATTGAATCTAAATTGCAATTCTTTAAGTTGCTCAGAAATAATTCAGAATTATTGCTATACATGCATTTAAAGTTTACTGTCTCTGTTTTATTTTCTGAAAGAATAACGGAATCAATTTCATCATTATTTTTTCCAATAATTATTGATTGAAGTGAGTTTACGACTTGTTGCATAGTAGGACGTTCATTTGGGTCATATTTCCAACATGCTAATAAAATTAATAAGTTAAATGATAGATTATTAAATAACGACACGTGAATATAAGAAATTGCACTAATATTTACCTTCAAATAGGTTACTATATTCAATAGGAGTATTCATGACTATTTGTTCTCTCATCCCTTCTCGAATTTTCATAATTAAATTTGCATCATAATCTACATTTTCGGCATAAAAAGGTTTATGCCCACTTGAAATTTGCCAAAGAAGGACTCCAACACTATAAACATCAGACTTTGGGTTTAATATGTAATGTTGGTCTTTGTTCTTATTTTGAATATTATTCAAATATTTTGGATCAATATAAGGAACAACACCAAACACATCTGTTGAATAACTTGACGCATCAATTATTTTTCGCGATAAACCAAAGTCTGCCAATTTTATATGGTTCTGATGTACAAGTACATTTTGCGCATGCTAGGTAAAAATAAAAATAAAAATTATCTTATTTATATAAATTATCGATAACAAATCAAACAAAATTATTCTTACCAAATCACAGTGAATAATTCCTTCGTTATGCATACATGCTACAGCATTTGCAAGTTGCAAGGCTAGTTGATATTTACAACTCCATTCTAGGTTATTAAAATTTTCTTTTAAATAGGATTGCAATGATCCGCCATCAGCGTATTCCATAACCAACAAGTACTTGTTTGTTGAATCCGATTTTGAGATCCCATAAAATTTTATAATATTTGCATGATAATCAACTTCGCGTTGCATTTTTATCTATTTTTTATAGCTTAAATAAGTTAATATGTTTTGTTAATAGTAAATTACATTGTTATAGTTTACCTCATTGACCATCTCTTTAATAGTCAAATTATAGGAATGTTTTAGAGCCATGATAGTATCAGAACCTTTCCAGTTCGCGCAAGAAACATTTCCATAAGAACCGTAGCTAATTTCTTCCCAATTAGTGAATTCGGCAAAATCATAATACTTGATATAATTTTCCGATATCGCTCTTTTTAACCAATTGAAATCAGCGTTGGAATTATTTATTTCGGTTGTTGACATGTTTGTTAGACTAGCACGAACAATTTATATTGGACCATTATGTGTACAGATTCGCGGAAATATTTTTGTCACACCCTCAAGAAAATCACATTTAATAAATACTTTCGAAAATTAGTTGAATGATTTATTAACATTTAACATAATAATCACTATCATTTAAAATAAATGTTATGGTTTATTAACACTTGTTTTTTTTTAAACTTCTCTCTTGAAAATCTCTTGCATAGTGAAGCCAAAATTCTAAAATAAAATATATAAATAAATTGATTTTATAATTTAACGCAACGAGCTTAGAAATCAACTTGGTCAAAATTTCTTCAATCCATGTTAGAACATAATATTGCTCATTCTATCTATATGATATCCATACAATTATTAAATATTCATTTAATATTGAATTTTGAATACCCTTTCCATATATAATTGTATTATGCAGGAATAAAAAAGAAATTAATTGTATTGAAATATCAGTGGGATTATTTTTATTTTAGCTCAACGGAATTAATTTGAGAGAAAGAGGATTGATAATATTAATGGTTCAATCAGACTTTTGAAACAAGGCTTACATATTATACAGTATGTTTATAATTTAAATGAACTTTCTCGATGGCATGACATGTGTAGCAATTACGTTGCGTAATCCTAAAATTTTCTGTGGATCAAAGATCCAATAATCGGATACCGCTGTGAATCTTTTATGAGCATAGTTCAACAACGACTAGTTGTACTAAATGTTAAACTGTACGAAAAATATTAGGTAAATATTACAAATATCGATAATTAATCAAAATAAATTTTTTATTTTGGTATTATTTAATTTTAAAGATTCGTTGAGACTTTACTCAAAAGGGTGAATGAATTTAGATAAACAATTATTTCAAATTATTCTCTTTTATAAAAAAAACAGAGTTAGGCGAAGTCAAATGAAAGAATAATTGAAAGCATATAAATTTATAACTTCTATTATTTTTTTTACACGAGAATTTGTTTAAAAACAAACACGAAACCGGGATCATCGGGAAAATGTGCAGGTTATGACACATTTGCCGGTTGACTGGATATCTATTTAATAGGATGTGTTTTGAGAAATTCCAGAAAGAAAAATATTTATTATAATACATATATTTGAAAAACAAAAATTTTTCAAGACTTGCATTGAAATTTTTGAAGTTTCATCATTATCACAGCTCGAACACTCCAAGCCGAGAATAATGCTAGATTTGAGTGACATGACCGAATATAAATAAACATGCACCTAATAGCTCAACAATAATGAAAAATAAAAAAAGAATCAAATTTGATCTATTTTTGTGAGTTAACGAATGATTTTCATATTTTTAGCATATTTGCATGCATTAATAAATTGTATTAATGAAGTGAGGAATTCATCAATCTTTGAAGAATTATTGGGTAATGCCAAATTTTCCCACCCGAAATATTATTGTCGAATCTTCCATCATCACATTTAAAATTTCAAACTTTTTACAAATCTTTGTATTTTAACGTGTAATCTTCCTTCTTATATAAAAAAAAAAAAAATGATAAAATAAAATATGAATTTTTCGCGCCAAAATTATTGGTAACTGATCGATCGACGCATTACTTTGATATTGTGAATATCCTGACCAAATTCATCATTCTGAAACGATCCATAATTCGATTTTACAGAAATTTAATTTAATTACTTTTTGTAACCAAAAGTTGCGTCCATTATACACAAATATTTGGAATGCGTATAAATGAATTTATTCAAAGAAAAAAAAGAACATTTATTATAAATATAGGAATACTGTACGGTTTTGTAAATCCAATTTTTTTATTAAAAAAAAAAAAAAAAAAGAAAAAATTTTTTTTATTAAACATGAAACAATCAATTAGTTATAAATTAAAGATTAATTATTTAATTTCAAATGATACATCCCTAAGCCAGCAGTCTCGACCTACGGCTAAATTAAAGTATCAGAAATGCAACGAGTGCAATCGAAACAGAAAACATTTTAATAAAATTCATCAAGTCTGTGAACAATGCTATAATGATATAGCATTTCTTATACCCAGCGGTAATAAAGTCATCGATGATTTTATAAGATCATCACAAACCAATCGTGATAAGGTTGGAAGGATGGAATTTGTTCCCTATGATAGATTTAAAGACTTGGAATTTATTGCCGAAGGAGGATTTAGTAAGGTATATAAAGCAACTTGGATCGACGGCCCGATCAGGTGTCAGAGTGGAACAAAATATCAGCGTATTGGTCAAAAAACAGTTGCCCTCAAGAAACTTAATAATTCCAAAAATTTCAGTTCTAAAGAGATGAATGAGGTGCGATATTCCATTTTTTTTTAATAAAGTATTATATAAATTACGAGACAAATAACATTAAAAGTTTTTTTTATTAATATCATTTCAGTTTAAATTGTATCATGAATTTTATTTAAAATGGAAAAATAAGAATAAACATGTTCGGGTTAATTATGCAATACTTGAAACATATAGTCGTATCAATAGATATTTTGGGATTACTCGAGATCCGATCACAAAAGATTTCATGATAATTATGCCATATTATGAATCAGATCTGACACATTTCATCTCAAAGAATTTTTTCAATCTCACTTGGTGGGATAAGTTACTTAAATTGATCGTCATTATCGAAGGGCTTAATAATATGCATAGTATGAATATTATTCATCGAGATTATCACAGCGGAAATATCTTTTCTTCAGGAGTGACCGGTGATTTAGGGATAAGTAAATTCGGTACGGAATCATCAGACCCTGACGGTAATGATATTTACGGGATTATTCCTTACGTTGCCCCGGAGATCTTTCAAGGGCAAGGATATATTAAAGCTTCGGATGTTTATGGATTTGGTATGATTATGTGGGAATTCTTGACAGGCAGAAGGCCTTTTTGGAATCGAGATCACGATGTAGATCTTATGATTGAAATTTGTGATGGTCTTCGTCCTCCAATCGTTACAAATGCACCTGTAGGTTACACTGAATTAATGCAAGAATGTTGGAATTCTAATCCAGGCAAAAGACCAACAGCTACCGATATAGAATCAAGATTGAAGAATATAAAGATTTCAGAATTGAATAATGAACTTAATAATAGTCCAACGATATCCATAAATTTGACAAACATTGGACCCATAGCAACAAATAATCCGAATGCCATCTATAAGAGTAGACCCTTAGGTGCCATGATAAGATCTGCAAATGTTCAAACTCGGTAAATAAGTTTTTTTTTGATAATTAATATAATTGATGTTCGATTGCTAACGATTATAAATTTTAAAGGTTAAAGAAAGTTTGACGCTAAATCCGATTGATAATCATAAAATAAATTGGCTAACTTAAATTAGTCAAAGTTATTCTATATTTTACTTTATAGGACATTGCAAATTTAAAATTTACCATTACTCTTTTTCTTTATATTATAATGTTAAGGCTTTGTATGGTATGGTAACTCGATCCGAATTTATTGTAATACAAAGCTGCGAGTGACTCATACCACCTAAAATACTCATTAGACGACATTTTCTTATTTCACTTTATATATACAATCGAGTAAAATTTTAATGTTTAATATTAGAGATGTTAAGGGTCGGTCAAAGGCTCTTGACACTCCGATTGTTTGACCGACCAATTTTAACTGACCGGTATTAATAGTAATATGTTTAATTATCGCATGATTGAAATTATTGAAATTTAACATTTTTACTTATTAGAGAAAGTTTTTATTTAGCCAAATATTACGACATTTCTTTATATAAAATAATTTTTTTTCATTACGCGGAATTTCTTATTTTTCAAAATTTCAAATTTCAAATAAATATAATGATTGATAATTTAAATTACAAAGAATGCTTCAATTTAGTTGTTCGGCTAGTTGGCAAATCGGTCGGTTTGACCTTATTTAATCCGTTCTGAATTTAATTATAAAAAATCAGAAATTTTTTAACCGTGAAAAGTCCTCCTCCTTTTTACCATCCCCACACATTTTTTCTTTTTATAAAGAAAAAATGAATAAATTTATATATCAACTGCGACATTTTTTTAAACAAATATATAATAAACCTAGTGATAAGTGAAAATAAAGAAATAACCACAAGAGCTGCTTGAACTAAGACACTTAACAACAATTTAAAAACAATATCTTCATTACTTTTTCTATATTCAAAAAGCTCCAAGTTAAATATCGGAACAAGTAAGATGAGTTTTATTAATTGCAAAGCATCAACAAAGTATCCAATCCGGTCAACTTGTTTTTTTTCTAGTTTCTCTCGATGTTTGCCTAACCAATAGTAAAAATCCGAACCGCCTAAATTTAAAAATGAAATTTTTGTGAGTGAAAAAATCACACGTTTATTATAATGACGATTACTTTGAAACGGTAAATTAAATTTAAATGACGACTTACCAACAAAAATGCCAATAATGTTCATGCAACCAAAACTTTGATAACCGGTCACTTTTTTTGTGTACTCGTAAACAACACAGATTTCTATCAAGCGAGGTATAATTTCACATGCACATAAGATCATAAAAATAATGAACCCAATGGTCAAAAAACCTTTCTTGGTATAGTAGAGATAATAGTAACGAAACGTTATGATGGTGGATATGAGTGCAACAAATTGACATAGAGTCATTGCGATGGCCTTTCTCCTATTCCATTTATTCTTTTCCTCAAAAGGATACTTTTTCTCCATTTTTCCATTTTCAACATCTGGATTTGTCGACATTTTGAAAAAAAAATGTGAAGTTTTGAATTATGAAAAATTAATAAAAAGGTATTGTCTCCTTATACTGCCATTTAAATATTTTTCCTTATCCCTTTTAAAATTGATTAACACGAACAAAAAAATTCATCGTCGAGTCTGTGTTACACAATGATAAGACTTCATTAATGTTTCATGAGTTACTGGTAACGCGACCTATTTTTATAATGTACATATAAGGATGGGTTGGAGCCGTGGTTAAAAGGTATAACCAGTTAACCAATCGGTTAACCAGTCCAAAATCCAAAAATATACGAAACGCTTGGTAAATTTGATTGTCAAATAGCAGGTTACTTGGCAGTCGGGTTATTGGAAACTATCAACATATAATACTGTATATAAAAACAACCATATTATTGAACAAGTGACTTTTCTTCCGATTGGTCTTATTGTTTAGATTGTTAACATATCCAAACAAATGTTCATTAAGTTTAAATTTGGACAATTATTCTTATTTACTGCATATATATACTCTTCTAAATAATTCATAACCCATAGGGTTTCCGTTTGAAATACAAATTTCATATCAAATATTTGAAAGTTTTTTTAAAATAATTTCAAACGAATATCGAAATTAATTTAAATCATTTCGAAAAGAATATATAAAAAAAAAAAAATGAAAAGAAAAAAAAAAGAATGAAATACGAAAAAAATAAAAATCGATAAGATCGATCGAATTGACGATATTCGAAATCAATTTCGATATCCGAAATCATATCGATATTCAAATATTAATTATATATTTTCGAATATTTGAATTTTATTTATTTACAAACGAATATTCGAATATACTATTTCAAACGGAAAACCTAATTCAATTATGCCTTTGGTGGAACGTCCTTCTTATTTTCAATATTTTTGATTCCTATAACAATTTGGTATAAAGTTACTATGCTAGAATAGAACTATTTATCGTAAACTTATTATGTTGTGTGACGTGCAATCTATTTTCTGTATCTATGGTTACAATAGTAGGAATCGTACTTATTTACTCGTAAGTACACATTAAGAATCCATTCGTTTTTAATTGATTAATTTATTCAACTTTTTTTTTTTTTTTAAAAAAAAATAAAAAATTTTCCGAACCTCAAATTAGGGAAATCCTAACAAATATTTTGGAAGGAAAAGAAGTATGGACGAACCAAAATAGTACATGGATGCAATTAGAAAATAATTCCTTTGATAGAAGTGTTTATAGTTATGCGGAAGATATTAATCAGAATCAAGCACAAAGGACATATCATTTTCAAGTCTAAGATTTTATCTATACTTCGCGTCATCACGAAATTACAAATAATGTTGATGATGATACATGATGAGGAAAATTGCTGGTCTTCTTGATGGTTTGTCAGATATGGAAGGAATATCCATCATGTATTTTTAATGGTTTCACAGTTAGCAAATTGGCTCACGCGATCAATTTTTGCTCGATTTCGCGTTATGGATTAATTTCCGGCGGCACAAAATGCATTCCGCTTATCATTTGTCCTTATGATTATCAGTTAAACTATAATAAGAACCTCCGATTTTGTAATAATTTACTTTAATAAAAAAAGAAAAGAAAAGAAACTTCTAATAATAAAACTTTTGACCAATAAGATTCAGAATTGAGATATTTGAATGAAAGATTAATATATGTAAAATGGTACAATATGATGATTAAATTTACGTAAATTGAACTTTGTAATATATTATTAATATTGAGATTCACCAATCTTCCTTTCTTTAACGAAATTTTTGTTGCTATTGTTGTTGCTATATAAAACATTTTAAGGAACCTCATTATTAAACCGGTTTAATCCTTGTTTGATCGCCAAGACAATATTTTTTTTTAATGCGTTTTGAAATAAACGAAATTAATAATGTACTAAAATCAAAAATTCGGAGCCGAAAACGCAAAATCCGAAATAAACATGTAAATAAACTTGTAAATTTTATACATTCATTCCTAAAACGTACCTTTATTTCCCAAACCAAGCCATAAACCGGTTTCGTATGCTCATATTTTACAAGTGCGAATTAAGAACCCAAAGCCATTGAATGAAAAAAATAAATAAAGAAAACAATGGTAATGTCATACGACATATTTTTATGATTGTTTGAAGTGATTATAAAACGATTGTCCGGAAGTTTGTATTTCATGGATTATCGGGACGCGAAACGTGGCAATGTTGAAACAAAATAAAAATACGGTAATTCATTCTGGTCGATCAACCTTTGTTGGGGTAGATCCCCATTTATTTCTCTTTTTGCTCTTTGTTCATTTTTTTTTTTTTTTTTTTTGTTAATAAAGAATGTTTTAAGTTCTTTGTACATTTCGTTGTGGAAACTTCTTAAGCATGGTGAATTTTTTATTGAAGGATGACCGTTATTTTTAGCAAAAATGACGTTATCTTAGGCTGAAACCTAAATATTGTTTTTAATATATTTAAATGTGAACACAACAGATAGTCCCATATGACCCACGTTTATTTGAAATCATATCGTAATTTGTGATAAACTGCGCGTAACGAAAATCTTTAAAGCATTATCTTTTTTAGAAATTTTTTACCGATTGTCCAATAATAAAATGATGTGTACAAAATTTGCGCAAGGTAGATCAACTTGATCCAAAAACGATAATACACATTACCAAAGCGAACGTAATTTCGCTCCCCCCTGAATAAATTTATTACACTTTTGTATTCATTATAAAGTTTGGCGCGGAATCGTGCTCCATTTGGTAGTTTAAAAGGCAAGAATCGAACGACCTTTTTTTTTTTTTTTTTTTTTTTAATTTATACAAACGCGCCGAAGTGATGCATTACATTTTTGAACAACCAAATGTTTTTTATTTTCTTTGTGACTCCATCAGCAACCATAATTAAATTAGCTTTACTTCATTTGTGTAATAAGTTTTCTTTTTTTAAATGAGCAAATAAAACAAGGCAATTCATTTTATAATAAGCAAATCAATAAAATAAAGCAAACAATAAAATCATTGCATGAATGCTAGCAAGCAAACAATTAGACAAAAGGAGAATCCTTCGTCGCTAAAATTAGGATTATGTGTACCCGTTCCTTGGAAATCATTCTAGAAACTCGTTATTATTCAAGATTTCTTTTGGCGAAGTTCGGCAAATCCGACAAGGGAATTCTAAGAAGGGTTTATAAGAAAAATTTTTATCATTTAATTTTTTTTTTCTTTGCTCCAATTTCTTTGTAAGGTACCAGAATTGGCACTGCACAGAAAGGGAGAAAAGGAGTCAGCCCACAAAGAAACGAATAAGTGTATGGTTAAAAAATTAGGTTTCTGCGTGATTAATAATAACATCATTGCATGTATCCCGATTAAATATAACGTAGCATATATTATTTTAGTCTACAAATGTTCTTCCGAGGGGGGGAAAACTTTTTTCATTCAAAGAATGGGGATATGCAATTCGGCCGTCTTCGATGGAAGAAATAATCCATGTCATGATGAAATTTATTTATAGAAGGGATCCGCTTTACGCGTATGAGGCAAATGTTAACTGAATATGGAAAACAATCATAAATACCAAGGAGAAAAAAAACAAATGTAATTCTCATTTTATTCTTCATTTCATTTTATTTTAATATACATGATATATAAATATCACTTTTTTTTTTTTTTTTTTATATAAATTTGAAGTACAAAAAACGGACATACCCTAATGCATTATTATGAAACCTTTTTTTTTTAAACCAATGAAAAAATCTCTTTCCGATCACAAAAAACTATAGACGCGATTATTAAGGCCGATTTGAGCCTACGAAATAATCACAAGCAATGGGTGATACAATTATATAAATTAATAAAACTCTAATCCCGATATGGATTGTTAAGAAAGGGTTCGGTAATTTAATAAATTACGAACCATGTAGAATATCATCAATTAATAAAACTTATTTTTATTTTTCTTTCAAATTTATTTGTCATATCATTCATCATACTATATGTAATCCAAATTACTTAATTTATATTTGCAGGAAAAAATTATAAATATGTTATTGCATTCTATATTTTACTTGTTTTCCTTACTCACCGAGAGCTCAATAATATTTTTTTAAATATTTTTTTTTTTTTTTCTTATAAAAATTCAGTGGGAACTCATTTGAATCTGTTGCGATTAACTCGCAAAGCCCAAAGAAAAACAAAAAAAATAAAAAAAAAAAAGTTAAGAACGTTGAAATAATTCAAATATATTCAAAACTTTAATATAAATAAAAAAAAAACTCTAAGCAATTTAAGATAATCTAATAAAAACTTAAGAACAAAACTTATAATGGCTAAATCAAATCGAAAACAAGTTAATACGAAAAGAAAACCGGCGTCAAAACGTAATCGTAACATTCCAAATATCGAAATTAATTTACCGTTTCCACCCAAGGTTGAGCTCGAAGACCTATTCCCCAAATCCAAAACAGTGAGCTTACGAACTTTGAACGCGTTTTTCATTTATCGCAAAGTGATTACTGCTGAATTAAAAAAAAATCATGTCTTATGTTGGAGTATAATATCAAGCATAGCATCCAGCAGATGGAGGATCGAAGATTCCGGAGTGAAGCAGCATTACAGAGAACTTGCAGAACATGCTAAAGTCTTGTATAGATCTAAACATCCATTATATGTTCATCATGGAAAAAACGCTGCCGAGTCTGCGATGATGCTTCAAGACAACGATGAGAAATCTGCACCAAAGCAATTTATCTTTGTAAACGAATTCGATACTAATAATAAAGTTGCAGGTCAACAAGACGCGTCTGATCAAGTCGAAGTTGCAGAACCGCTAAATGATCATAATAACTATGATTATGAACAAAATATTTCTTCGTATACCGTCGTTAACCCTCCAAATCCATCAGCATTTGACTTGGTTGATTATTTATATGGAGATACGTGCAACTATTCCATGACCACACTTTTGCATGATGAAGAATTAATTTATTACATGATGAATGGAAGTTGGTTTCCGCAAGATTGAGAAGGACAATATACCTATTTTCATCAGTTATCAATTATCAAAAAACGCTCGAGGGTTTCCTTAAGTTATGTAATAGATTATTATTTTTTTTTTTTTTAAAAAAAAAAAATTCATGTAGTCATATTTCATATTTTATTTTTGGGATTTAGGTTTTAGAACCTTCAAAGTTATCTATATATATCTTTTTTTTTTCGACAATTAATAAGATTTTTTACGGTTTTCTATGATTAATTTGATGTTTATGCACGTTTTATTAATAAATAATTGTCAATCTATTTAATCGTCTTTTGTTTTGTAATTAATTTTGTTTGTTTGCCCAAAATTTCTCGAATATTTTAATAAGTGATTTTATCGTCATAAAGTATAAATTTAAAACAATGTGTACATATCCGAGTACCTGAAACCCGAACGCAATTAAAAAAATTAATTATTACTTCCGCAAAATCGCATGTGCTCAATCATTTGTTTTCCCCTAACTATAACAGGTATAAAATGTTGATAATCGCAAAATAAAGTTTGAAACTATTAAATGTTACAATCAAACATTCAAATTTATGGTTAATGTTTAATATATATTTAAAATTTTGCAAATAATTGTCATTATCACTATTGATTGATAAAATTTCATTATCAACATTTTAGAAACATTTTGAAACATCTTAATGCAACAATTTATCAATTCTAACATATATAAATAATGAAATATGTCATGATATATTAATTGTAGAAGATGAAACACAGCTTATTGAATTCAGCCATGATAGATTAATTGTAGAAGATGAAACACAGCTCATTGGATTTATCATAATATGACGCATTGAATGGTGAGTAAATTTATATTTCTAAGATCAATAAATAAATGATTTTTAGCAAAATGTGAAATCACAATAAATTACACAATATTTTCATTACTTATAACTATAAAAAAATGATATATCACTTATTGGATTCATTATAATAAGATATACAAATGTAAAAATGAGAATCAGTCTCAAAAATTCTTGCCATTTCAATCTTACATCAATCAAACTTTATGTATCTACAATCTTTGATTATATAAATAAATCAAATTACTAATAGTTTCTTTTATAAAACTATGATCTTTTAAATCAAAATTTCTAATTAATTAAATCAGAAATGACATTTAGTTATTAGCTAAGCCTAATTTTTAGCTGTTATTTGAGTTAAATAACTGAAAAAATCACAATTTAATTAGCATTTAAATATAAGCAAAATTTTTAATATCATAAAATTTATCATAATATTGTAGT